GCCCCCCACAGTCATTCTGGCATGGGCAAGGGCTGCAAAAGACCAGGGGGCACACCAGGAGCATACTTGGCTTTTTGACAGATCCCACAGGACGCCACATATCCCGACACATCATGTTTAAGTCTCGGTCACCAAAATGTCCTAGAGATGAGGTGCAGTGTTTTGAACACCCCAAAGTGTCCCCTCACCAGACTATCATGACATTGATGTAGGATAAGGCCATGAAGAGGACCTCCAGGCACATAAATGTGATCACGGAACTGCAACAGGTTCCCAATACACACCCAAGGAGTCTCTTGTCTCCCATTCTCATCCAATTCTCGATGTCGAGCTGCCACAAATGGGTCCTGCCACTGCGCCTCCTGAATCCTCACTTGGAGGTCCAAAAGTTCCTCAGTGGCTGCAAACCGCTCCAATGAAACCACCGTCCAGGGCAAGATTTAATCCTCTCTTCGGGTATACTCGGGCTTCTGAGATAGGGCGTCAGCATGTTGATTCCCTCCACTCAGAACATAGGTCACCCGGAAATCAAATCAAGCAAAGAATAAGGGCCATCTCACCTGATGCTGGTTCAATGTCCAAGCTGTACATCGGTGTTGCAAGTTGCGATGATCCGTCTGAACCTCGATTTGGTGACGAGCCCCCTCCAGGTGGTGCCGCCATGTCTCAAAAGTGACCTTAACCACCAATAGCTCCTTGTCCCAAATCGTATAGTTGCACTCTGGAGCTGACAACTTCCGGGAATAATAAGTGCACGGGAACAAGGTGCCTGCGGGAGCCTAGGCCTGGAGGAGCACCGCACCAACAGCCACATCGGAAGCATCTGTTTCCACCACAAATGGCTGGCCTGGATCAGGGTGTTTGAGGATAGGCTCGGAAGGAAAGGCGACTTTCAACACCTCGAAAGCTGCCTGCTCCTCAGCATCCCAATGGAACTTCTCCCCCTTCTTGAGCAGTTTAGAAAGGGGACCAGTCAAGACAGCAAAGCGGGGAATAAATATGCGGTAGTAGTTCACAAACCCCAACAGTCGTTGCATATCTTTAACCCGCTGTGGAGGTTCCCACTCCTGCAACGATTGAATTTTTTCCGGGTCCATCTCCACCCCAGCAGGTGAAATACGATGTCCCAAGAAGTCAATCATGGTTTGTGCAAACTGACACTTCTCACATTTAGCAAACAGGTGGTTATCACGCAAATGTTGCAACACCAGCCGCACATACTGCCAATGTTCCTGCAGGGAGTTTGAATAAATCAAAATGTCATCTAAATAAATGACCATGAATTGATCCAACAAATCACAGAAAACAATGTGCATGAAATGCATGAACACAGCTGGGGCATTGGTTAATACAAAAGGCATCACGGTATACTCAAAATGCCTGTACCTCGTCCGGAAAGCTGTTTTCCACTCATCCCCTGCATGAATGTGAACCAGATTGTAGGCCCCATGCAAGTCCAACTTCGTAAAGATCTTAGCTTGATGAAGCCGCTCAATCAGTTCAGGGATGAGGGGAAGCGGGTACTGATTCCTCACTGTGATTGCAATCAACTTGTGGTAATCACAACACAAACGTAGCTCCCCCGATTTCTTTTTCACAAAAAGCACTGGTGCAGCCAATGGGGAGGTAGAAGGCCAGATAAACACTTTCCGGAGGTTCTTGTCAATTAAATCCCGCAACGCGGCCAACTCTGGTTCCGACAGGGAATATATCCGACCCACCGGCAATTTTGCATTGGGCAACAAGTCGATTGGACAGTCATACGCCCGATGCGGAGGCAACTGATCTGCCTCCTTCTCCCCAAACACATCAGCAAAGTCCACCAACTCTGCCATTACTGGCGGGGACACCTGTTGCTGAGGAATGAACCACTGCTCTACAAAATGAGCATCCATGAAATTGGCTGTGGCCCCTGAGTCGACCAAGGCTTGGATCTCCACTGCTCCCACACCAGGCACGAACACACTTGCTGTCAGCACAAGATGCTTCACCAATAACAATTGTGGTGGAGATGTCAAAGGTGGCAATGATGGCAAGGTTGGTGAAGATGGCGGGCCTAAGGACTTTACACCCCGACCTACAGACCCCCGTAGGCGAGTGATGCTCGTTTCCCGCCACGACAGGCCTCACTGCTGTGGATGTCTTAACAGGACACTTGGCCACAAAATGGCCTCAATTGCCACAATAGATGCACAAACCATCACGACTGTTGAGGTAATTCCCCGTTAGGAGAATGAGCGCATACAGGGAGACGTATTTGAGAGAAGTGTTTGAATAATACACACACAGAACACAGATACACTGTACAGTAAATGTAGGTTTTTACTTCCAGAAAGGTTTAAGCAAAGTCCAAACACAGTCCAAAGTCATTCATAGGTAAATCAGTCAGTTTTTCAATCCAGGGATAATCCAATAACAAATTCCAGTGTCAAAAACAGTTCAATATCAGACTTACATCAAATCCATGAATATCAGTCAATTAGGAAAAATGGAGGAACGGCAATACTTTCCAACAGAAGATAACAGAGATTCACTCTCTTCTGAGACTCAGACTAAACAACCCAGGGTTCTGGCTCCATCTTATGGCCGTTTGAGAAACCACACCTAATTGCTCTGAAAGAGACAGTATTAAAATGTCTATCCTGGTTTACACATTTCTAACCCAAATACCTCTAAGATGACTTATATTCCTAACATTCTCCCCTTTTGGGTAAGACAATATATACAACCTTGCATTCTAAGTCCATAATCTTCACAGCAAGCTTTATGCTTTATAGAGCCTTGGGCCTTTGTAAAATGATCTGCTATATTGTTTTCTGACATACAGTATTCTAGCTTAATCATCTTACTTTGCACACATTGTCTCACATTTAAATATCTTAAATCTGTGTGTTTCGTTCTTGTTTTAACAGCAATATTTGAAGCCATCTTTATTGCTGATTGGTTATCTTTGTAAACAATAATAGAATCTGTTACATCAATTCCCATGTCAATTAGTAGTTGCTTATACAAAACTAAATCTGTACATAATAAAGACAAACATGAGAATTCAGCCTCCATTGTTGACAAACATAGATGTTTCTGTCTAATAGACCTCCATCTAATCAACACTTTTCCCAATAATACTACAGTACCCGATGTAGATTTTTGTATATTTATGTCTGTAGCAAAACTTGCATCAGCATATGCAGTTAAACTCAGTTCATCTTTAGGCTCCAAATACAATGCATAATGTATTGTTTGTTTCAGATATCTTAACACACGTTTAACAGCTTGCCAGTGACTTTCATTTGGCTCAGCGTTAAATCTCGCTAATTGATTAACACAGTATGCAATATCTGGCCTTGACCAATTACTGAGATAAGATAAACTACCAATCAAGGACTGATAAATGTTCTTATCAAAAACAGGACTTTGAACATCACTATGGCTAAACTCCTGGCTCATTGGTGTTTTAGCCGGCTTACAAAGTTCCATTTTAAAACTTTTTAGTAATTGGTTAATTTTATCTGCCTGTGAGATGTTGTATCCTTCCCTAGTTCTATCTATCTTTAAACCAAGATATTGTTTAATTTCTCCTAACTTTTTTATCTTAAATTTCTTTTCTAATAGTGAAATTATCTCAGTAGCTTCTTGTTCAGTTTTGGTGATTAATGCTATATCATCAGTAAACAATAGCAAAAATGAAATTATACCATTAGTTTCCTTTTTAAACAAACATGGATCAACCATGCCAGCTACAAAGCCTATCTTAGTTAATTCTTTAACTATACATTGGTTCCACTCATATCCTGATTGCTTCAAACCATAAAGACTCTTTTTCAATTTCCAGCAATCATTATTATCAGTATTATCATTTTTGAGACCTAAAGGTTTCTTTAAATATATAGTGTGTTGCAACGGTGCATGCAGATATGCCGTCTCTACATCCAAATGATTTATAATATATTTCTCTTTAGCTGCCCACACTAATGCTGCTCTTAATGTAGTAGCCTTCAGACTAGGTGCAAACACCGCATCATAGTCATTTGCTGTCTGATTAAACCCTTGTTCTACTAACCTGGCTTTATGGGTAACAGCCCCATGTCTACACATGTCTTTAGTTTATAAATCCATTTACATCCTATGGCATGTTTACCTGGTGGTAACTTAACATTTTCGTATACCTCCAGTCTTTTTAATGATTCCAGTTCCTTATCCATTGCTTTCTGCCAAGCAGCCTGATCCTTAGCAGGATACAGTTTTAGTTCACTATAATTACTTGGAACTGTATTCACTTGGCATACAACACTAGCCTGATATGTATCAGGTGGTTGTGTTACTCGGGTTGAACGACTTGGTAATACAGGGCTAACTTTCCTGTGCCACCTGCTCCTGTTCTTCTATTTCTTCCTGTGCCTGTTCTCCTACTTCCTCCTGTTCTTCCTCTTTAATGGCTATTGGTGGTTTACTGCTTTTATCTTTAGGGACTATTTTGGTGTCAATAATTATATCATTGCTGGATTCCTGTTCCAGTTTATCCCGTCCAACGTGCTCGAGAAATTTTGCACTAGCACTACAATAAACATGAGCTGTGCCTTGATCCCAAAATCTAAACGATCTATGGTTGGCCTCATAACCCACAAAAAATAATTTCTTAGCTCTATGTTGCCCCTTCAGTCTTACTTGTGAGGCACCCGTGCTGGAGCTCCAAATGTGTGTAGGTAACTTAAGTTTGGCTTTCTGCCATGCCAGCTAGTGAATGGCAATTCACCAGTTGTTGTATTAACTACATTGTTTAACACATGGTTGCTACACATTATGGCTTCACCCCACAGTGTTTCAGGTAAACCTGAATCAGATAACATAGTACGAGCCATGGCTTGTAATGTTTGCCCTCTTCGTTCTACAAAGGAGTTATGTTGCGGTCTGTAAGGTGCAGAATGTTTATGCTCAACACCAGCCAATTTCAACATTGTTTGGAATTTTTTGTTAACAAACTCAGTCCCATTATCAGTTACTAAAGTAATTACTTTACTTTTCATTTTTCTCTCAGCAAACCTTAGCCAGTTAAAGAAATGTTGGAATGTTTCTGTTTTGTTTTTCATAAGATAGCAGAAACCGTATCGTGAGTAATGGTCCATAATACTCAAAATATAGCAGGCACCTCCTAAACTTAGATTTTTAGGACCAATTATGTCAGCAAAAACAACCTCTAAAGGTTCTTTGGTCTTAAACCCATTAACTCTGTTTGCAGGAGTAACCTTACTTTTCTCCTGACTACAAGCATTACAGTTTAAATACTTGCTACAGGGTTTCAATTTTACTCCCTCTGACAATTCAACAGTTTGTTTGAGCATTTTGAAATTAATGTGCCC